CTATTAATATATTAACATGGAACTCAACACGGCTACAACTCATGCCTGAAGGAAGATCATCTAACATGCGTTTTCTCCGTAAGGCACTTCACGCTTCCTGGACTGAGGAATAGCAGCCGGCACTGAAGCTCTGGGCTTGCGAGGCATTTACACACTAACACCGTCAACAAGAAGCACAAAAACTTGAAAACCATGGCACAAAATAGACCAAGAGGACACCTGTTCACAGTTGAGCGCTGAAACGAGAAGGCAGAGCGTGCCTAGCTCCACCGCAGCTGGGAATGTGCGCTTCAAGAAGCTCAGATTTTCTATCCTCTGCACGGCTCCAAAAATGACTTTGGAATTGCCTCAAGTATTGATTTGGGGGTTAGAAATAAATTTTAGCAAGTAGATGAATTCCAAAATACAGAATCCACGAATGAGGATAAACTTGTATATACATATATGTGTGTATATATGCACTCACACGTGAATTTTTTTTTCTTTGAGTCTTACTCTGTTGCCCAGGCTGGAGTGCACTGGTGTGATCTCAGCTCACTGCAACCTCCACGTCCCTGTATCTCAAACACCCACGGGGACAGGGCCAATGGCAGGAGTGAGTGAGCAGCAGGGCTCAAGTGATTCTCCTGCCTCAGCCTCCCAAGTAGCTGGGACTACAGGCGCATGCTACCATGCTTGGCTGTTTTTTGTATTTTAGAGATGGGGTTTTGCCATGTTGACCAGGCTGTTCTTGAACTCCTAGCCTCAAGCAGTCTACCTTCCTTGACCTCCCAAAGTGCTGGGATTACAGGTGTCAGCCACCGCGCCCAGCATCACACAGGTATTCATACACATAGTTGTGCATAAATGTGTGTGTAATTTCTCTCCAGAAAGTCAAACTAAAATACATGGTCTGTAATCAATTTGCATTGTTCTGACTTCGTTTACCGAAAAAAGAAAAGCTCCTCAGAGATGTGTAAAATGATTACATTATCGCAGCATTAACATTTTTATGTAAATTGGGGGTAATTTTTCAAAATGCAAATGTGTGACAACGTGCATGACTCAAATTGGTCTACAAAATAAAAGCTGTTAAAAAGTACAAAAAAGGTACAGGCGCATTGGCTCACGCCTGTAATCCCAATGCTTCGGAAGGCCGAGGCAGGAGGATCCCATGAGTCCAGAAGTTTGAGACGGGCAACAAAGTGAGACCCTGTCTCTATAAAAAAAATAAACAAAATTAACCAGGCATGGTGATGTGTGCCTGTGACCTTGGCTACTCAGGAGGCTGAGGTGGGAGGATCGTGTGAGCCCAGGAGGCAGAGGTTGCAGTGAGCCAAGATCGCACCACTGTACTCCTACCCGGGCCACAGAGTGAGACCCTGTCTCAACAAAAAGAAACGAAAAGCATAAAATACCAAAAAGATGACATTATTTCTTAAATTGTTTTCTGGAAATTTCCAGGCAGATCCTTCTTAACAACCATAGCAGTGGTAAAGGGAACATTTTAAGTTATGGATGTAAAATGGGAAATTAAACTTGTTTTCCCCTGGACTGGAGTTTGAAGAGAGCGATTAACTATTTCAGTGCCAATGTGTGTCTTACACAAAAGGGGGGAAAACGGAAAATAGCAAAATCAGAGAGGTACGCAGCCAGCCTGAGGTGCGTAATGACCACGGGAAAACAGAGCAGGAAGGGATGGGGCTGCCGGGGCCGGGTGGAAGTTGCCATTTGAAAGAGGGTGTCCAGGCTGGGTGCAGTGGCTCATGCCTGTAATCCCGGCACTTTGTGAGTCATTTGAGGTCAGGAGTTCGAGACCAGCCTGGCCAACATGGTGAAACCCCATCTCTACTAAAAATACAAAAATTAGCCAGGCATGGTGGCGTGTGCCTGTAATCCCAGCTACTTGGGAGGCTGAGGCAGGAGAATCACTTGAACCTGGGAGGAGGAGGTTGCAGTGAACCGAGATCACACCACTGCATTCTAGCCTGGGCGGCAGAGCAAGACTCCATCTCAAAAAATAAATGAAAAATGAAAGAGGATGTCTAGGGAAGGACACAAGTTAATTGATGTATTAGTAGGTACTAGTGGTACACATTTTATGTACATTCAAATTTGTGTAAACACAAAAGGAGAGTATAATAATTTGCCCAGGTCAGCACCTCTGAAAGCCACCTGCCACCTACACCCTCGTGTGAACTAAGAATGGCCCAGGATATGAGCCCTGTGGAGGAGAAGGTTGGGTTTGGGGGACACGCATGAGGCAGACAGGGAACTGTGCGGGGCATTCCACAAAGCCAGCTCTGACCGTGACGACACTCCAAATTTGGGTTTGTAGCCACAAGCTGCAGCCCTGCCCAGCCAGGTCAGAAGCTATGAGATGGGGCTAGGTTCTGGTTGGACGTGCAGCAAGCTATCCACTGCGAGCTCTTAGAATCTTCCCGAGCCCCGTGAGGGCTGTTATCCCAACTTGTCCGATGAGGAAACCAAGGCCCAGAGAGACATGGCCCACCCAGGTCCCGCAGGGGTGAGGCCAGGATGCCAGCTCAGGCTGCCTGGCCCCAGAGCCCACACCCAGTCATCAGGCCATCAGCAAAGCCAGGGCGCTGCCCAGGGCAGGAGGACATACCTTCAGTCGATCTCGGAAGCCCAAGACCTGGTACTCCAGCTCCCGGAGCTGGGGCTGGGTAGAGTCTGTGGGCCTCAGCAACTCCAGGACCTCCTGCAGAGGCCGCTCGAGGACCAAGCCAGGCCCGTCCTCTCTGTCCCCGGTTGCCCCTTCCTCAGGGCCTTTCTGGCCGCTCGGGGCTGTGGCTGTACCCTTGGGGAATGGGGAGCCCCGTGGCAGGCTGGGGCTCTCCACTCCCAGGTGCCTCCAGCCGGGCTGCTCTGCAAATGGGCCTCCCGAGAGGTGGGCCATCTGTGGCAGGACACCTGGGGACAGGGGGTCCTCCCGGGCCTCCTCTTCAATGGAGGCGTGGGGGCTGATGGCCAGGGGCAGGAAGCCCACATCGGAGGTGGATGCTGACGTACTGGTCTCCGTGTCTCGGGGGTCCTCAGAGCTGAAGGAGTCCATCTCAGGCAGCTCCTCACTCTGGCTTCTCAGGCTGGGACCCCGGAGGTCACTGTCAGACAGGTAGCTGAGGATTGGGGTGGCCCTGGGGCCACCCAGTAGCAAGGCCTGCTGCGTTGGCTGCTGTAGGACAGACTGGAGAGGGGACACAGGTGCAGCCTCACCAGCCACCCCAGGGACCACAGCCAGGCCCCAAGAGGGGCTTCCCCTGACAGGCACTGCTCTGCATGCCCACATTCTCAGGAGGACTGAGGTCATTGAGGCGACCAGCATCCCAGAGCTGCTAACAAGACCTCATCCCCTCTCTGCAATTCTCCCCGCATCCCCACCTCCAACTCACTCCCCCAGGTTCGATGGCCTCCTGGGTGTTGCTCACGCCCTGTGGGCTGTGCCCCTGTTCCTGCCTCAGGGCCTTTGCACTGACTGTGCTCTCTCGAGCACACTCTTCCCCATGTGGCTTCACGGCTTGTGGCCTCACCTCCTCAGGACCTTACTTAGCTGTCACCTCCCCTGAGAACCCTGCCCTGGACACTCCCTTTATTTTTTTGAGACGGTGTCTTGCCCTGTTGCCAAGCTAGAGTGCAGTGGCACGATCTCAACTCATTGTCACTGAACCTCTACCACCCGGGGTTCAAGCGATTCCCCTGCCTCCGCCTCCCCAGTAGCTGGGACTACAAGCGTGCGCCACCACCCCTGGCTAATTTTTTGTATTTTAGTAGAGACAGTTTCACCATGTTGGCCAGGATGGTCTCCATCTCCTGACCTCGTGATCCACCCGCTTGGCCTCCTGAGGTGCTGGGATTACAGGCGAGAGCCACCGTACCTGGCTGACACCCTTTTTTAAATGGCCCCTTCCTGCTGTCTCCCACAGTCCTTACGCCCCTCGGGCTGGCTGTGCGCTTCTGTGATCTTGATTATCATGTTTCTCCTGTAGAATTTCAGCTCCATGAGGGCAGTCTTTGCCTGGCCTGGAGCACAGTGGGGCATAGTTTCATTTTTTTGTTTGTTTTGAAACAGTCTCGCTCTGTTGTCCAGGCTGGAGTGCAGTGGCACTATCTCAGCTCTCTGCAGCCTCTGCCTCCCAGGTTCAATCAATTCTCTTGCTTCAGCCTCCAGAGTACCTGGGATTACAGGCAGATGCCACCATGCCTGGCTAATTTTTGTATTTTTGTAGAGATGGGGCTTCACCATGTTGACCAGGCTGGTCTCGAACTCCTGACCTCAGGTGATCCGCCCGCCTTGGCCTCCCAAAGTGCTGGGATTATAGGTGTGAGCCACTGCATCCAGCCTAGTTTTGAATGAGTGAATGAATGAATGAATGAAGGGCCTGACACATATGCAGTGCTTGTCACCACAGAAACAGCAGCAGCTGTCATTAAGCATTCTGAGGCTGCCGGCCCCACTCCAGGGCCTTCACATCACATGTCATTGCCCTTTCCACGCCCCCTGGGGGTGGCACTGCCCTAATCTCGGAGAGGTCCTCAGGCCACACGGGTGGCAAATACGGTGCCACAGTGTGAATCTGGGTGCACGGACACGAACCCTCACCTCTCATCAGCTAGAACAATGATAATGCTCGATGTTCATAACACCAACATTGTTGTAAGCGTTAACTAACTCTTACAACAATCCCGTAAGGGCAGTGCTGCTATTCTCACTTCTCTATACAGAAGTTGAAGTCCAGAGAGAGCCGGGCATGGTGGTTCACACCTACAATCCCAGCACTTTGGGAGGCTGAGGTGGGTGGATCGCCTGATGTCAGGAGTTCGAGACCAGCCTGACTAACATGGTGAAACCCCGTCTCTACTAAAAATATAAGAATTAGCTGGGCGTGGTGACATCTGCCTGTAATCCCAGCTACTCGGGAGGCTGAGGCAGGAAAATCACTTGAACCCGGGAGGTGGACATTGCAGTGAGCTGAGATCACGCCATTGCACTCTAGCCTGGGCAACAAAAGTGAAACTCCATCTCAAAAAAAATAAAAAGACAGGGCATGGTGGCTCATGCCTGTAATCCCAGCTACTAGGGAGGCTGAGGCAGGAGAATCACTTGAACCCGGGAGACAGAGGTTGCAGTGAGCCAAGATCGTGCCAGTATACTCCAGCCTGGGGGACAGAGCAAGACTCTGTCTCAAAAAAAAAAACCAAAAAGCAAAGAGGCTGGTGCACTTGCTGGTAGATGGCATTGCTGTCTCTGCAAGAATATGGGGGACCCTGACGACAGGAGTCGATACTGAGGAGGGAACCCTGATCCATGGAGATGATGGGAAAGATGTTTTACTGGGCACTCTGTCAAAGTGGAAACATATTAGGTTTAAAACAAGTAGGATAAGGCCAAGGCTACGGCCGGGGTGGTAGGACCATCCCGAGAGCCTGTCGCAGACGTCCTGAAGAACCAGCCATGCCCAGCACCCAGGCCGGGATGGAAGCTGCCAGAGGAAGACAGCACACAGGAAAACACCCCGATCACCCCAAACGGGGGCTGGGTCTGCTACATCTGGGAGGGCCAGACTGCTCAGCCCAGCCCCCCGCGTGCTGCCCCCATCCCAGGGTGACCACAGCAGCCTGGCCCCAGAGAAGGCTCACTCACCAGGTAGTATCTCTCCCGGAAGCTGGGGGTGCTCGGGGGTGTCCAGTTGTACAAGGAGCCCTTCCTGCTGCCCATAGAAAACTTGCCTGTGGGGCTGGGTGACACCACGAAGCTCTCAGTATCAAAAGGGCTGGAGGAGAGAACAGAAGGCCAGGATGCCATCGGCGCCCAGAGGCCATTTCAGGCCCAGATGGCCCCGGGGTTTCTTAGGCTCCACAGGTCGACTGGGTCGACTGTCTTCATCTTACAATACAGCAGCATGGACGGTATGCAAGGAGCTCTGCTCTAAACCTTTTTTCTTTTTTGAGACAGGATCTTGCTCTGTTGCCCAGGCTGGAGTGCAGTGGTGCCATCACAGCTCACTGCATCCTTGAACTCCTGGGTTCAAGTGATCCTCCCGCCTCAGCCTCCAGTGTAGCTATGACCACAGGCATGCACCACCATGCTCGATTAATTTTTTAATGATTTTATTTTTTGTAAAGACAGGGTCTCGCCATATTGCCCAGGCTGGTCTCTAACTCCTGGGCTCAAGCAATCCTCCTGCCTCAGCCTCCCAAAGTGCTGGGACTACAGGCCGTGAGGCACTGAGCCTGGCCTCTACTAAACTCTTTACATGAATCCTTATTTCCACCCACATGACAACCCTCTGTGGCCTGGAAAATGACTTACAGGGGAGGAAAGGAAGGCTCTGAGAGATGAGAGACTTGCTGAGGCCAGTGTCATAACCACGTGAGACAGAACTGAATTCACAGATTTCTCTGACCCCAAAGCCTTAAAGACCACTAAGAGTGATGCTTACTCTTCAGACATCACTGTATTTAACGGATTTAAGAGGAAATGGGCTAGGTGCGGTGGCTCACACCTGTAATCCCAACACTGCGGGAGGCCAAGGCGGGCGGAAGACTTGAGCTCAGGAGTTCGAGACCAGCCTGGATAACCCAGCGAAACCCCCATCTCTACAAAAAATGAATGCATTAGCCAGGCGTGGTGACTGACAAAGGCTTGTAGTCCCAGCTACTCAGGAGGCAGAGTGGGAAGGAGCACTTGAAAGTGGGAGACGGAGGCTGCAGTGAGCCGAGATCATGCCACTGATCTCCAGTCTGGACAATGGAGCGACACTATCTCAAAACAAAACAAAACAGGAAATGGAGGCTTGGGGAGGGCCAGGGCCTTGCCATGATCACAGGGGCGGCCTAGGAACTCTAGGTCACATGGCTTTGACCCCTTTAGAAACCTTTCTCAAGGCCGGGCGCAGTGGCTCACACCTGTAATCCTAGCACTTTGGACGGCCTGAGTCAGGAGTTCGAGATCAGCCTGTCCAACATGGTGAAACCCTGTCTCTACTAAAAATACAAAAAGATTAGCTGGGTGTGGTAGTGGGCGCCTGTAATCCCACCTACTCGGGCGGCTGAGGTAGGGGAATCGCTAGAACCCTGGGGGGTGGAGGTTGCAGTGAGCCGAGATTACACCATTGTAGTCCAGTCTAGGCGACAGAGCAAGGCTCTGTTTCAATTAAAAAAAAAAAAAAAAAAGGGGGGGGGGGGAGGGGGGAAGAAACCTGTCTCAGATTCCGACCACCCTGAGAGCCCTTAGCCAGATGGCGAGGGGCAGCGACTGAGGCAGGAGAGTAGGGTCTGGAGGCAGGGAACCTCAGGCCAATTCATGCTGAATCAAGGTCTGAAGGGACAGGGAATCTAAGGCCAATTAACATAATCTTCCTAAAGTTAACGCAAAAGGAAAAACCTCGTTTCTCCACACTGAGTAGCGATGGATCAAAGGCAACCTCCCTACATCCCTCCCGCCCCCGCCTCAGCTCAGATGGAAAGGGAGGGTACCTTGGGTTGGCTGCTGGCCGAGCAGAGACCACCCCTCTATCTGCACAGGGCCACTCACCTCAGCCTTTAACCACAGACCAAATCCTTTATCCAGATAAGGGATAGCCCACAGGAACCTTGGAGTACTTCAAGCCCGGGAAACTTTGTGATGAGGTCCTTGAGCCGCATGCTTGGGCCCACTCCCACCCTGCCGAGTGCTTTCTCGTTTTTTTTTCTTGAGACAGTTTCACTCTGTCGCCCAGGCTGGAGTGCAGTGGCACTGTCTCGGCTCCCTGCAGCCTCCTACTCCCAGGTTCAAGGGATTCTTCTGCCTCAGCCTCCAGAGTAGCTGCGACTACAGGCCTATGCCACCAAGCTTGGCTAATTTTTGTGTTTTTAGTAGAGACAAGGTCGCCTTATTGGCCAGGCTGGTCTTGAACTCCTGACCTCAGGTGATCCGCCCCCGGCAGGCCTCCCAAAGTGCTGGGATTACAGGCGTGAGCCGCCGTGTCCAGCTTTAACAGAGCCCTGCTGCTTCATTCCCATTTCCTTTCTCTGCTCCTTTTGTATATTTTGTTCAAGTCTTTGTTCAAAACGCCAAGGACCCGGACAATTCATTGTCAAGACCCTCTACCAGTAACAACTGGACACCCCCAATTAGAGGCTCCTTTGAGCAGCTCAGCCGATGAACAGGTGACACTCGGTTCAGACCCCTTGTCTGTAAAAGGGGTACCCTTACAGAAGAACCCCTGTGGGGAACATGCACGGGGAGGGGTGGGAATCCAGACAAGCTTGTGGGAGCGCCAAGGTGAGTGATGTGCAGCCCGGCCTTACCCTGGGGCTCGCGCCCGGCCCTGCACTCGGAGCAGGTAGGTCCCCGTAGACCCTCCTGCCTCGAAGAAACCTGCTGTTATCTGCACAAGGGCCTGGCTTGTGGCACCTGGACCCAGCCTGACCAGAAGGCCTACAGCTCAGAGGCTCTGCATGCCTTCTTCTCTGCCTGGGGCACCTGCAGACCTGCAGACCCATAGGCCCTCTGGGTCCTAGTCTTGGATGGCACTGAGCTGCCCACCACCCTGTATGCGTCAGGGGCCCCCCGGGCAAGAGGTACCAAGCAGATGAGGATCTTGAGGTGCCAGGTGGTCGCTCACCTGAATTCTCCCAGCTGACAGGGGAGAGGGCAGCAGCTCTGTGACCCCAGCTCATGTGCCCGCCCTAGGGAGTGGAGAGCCCCGACTGGCCAGAGCAAGCAGAGAGCGAAGGAGGCACCTCAGCCCTCCCTCCTGCTGCCCCTGGCCTGGGGAGTAAGAAGGGGACGCCCTGGAGATGCAAGGCTTCCTGGAACAAAGAGCTCCAGAGCCCACCACGCTCATGGGCATGTGACACGGGGTGTGCTCACGGACACGGGCCTCATGGATCTGTGGCTGAGATGGGGACGCAGGTGACTGCTCAGCCCTGGGCCTGGAGGCAGCCAGGGTAGGCCAGGAATGAAGGGGTGGGAGCAGCAAGGACGGCCTTCCTAGACAGGTGAGCCTACTCCAAGGAACCGAGCCCAGGAGGCCCCGGAAAGTGTCCCCCCAATCTGAGTCCCTGGGGCTTTAATACCCAGGGGTTCCGAAGCAAGAATGGAAGCAAAGCCGGAAAGGCAGGCGGGGGCTGCAGAGAAAGTCCAGGCCTCCAGCTGACTGAGGGGCAGGAGTGAGGGACAGATAAGGACCCGTGAGGGCAGGGACACCCTTGGTGGAGGCTGGTACAGGAACCCAGGGCCAGAGTGTGGCCAGGCCACCAGGGTCAGCCGGCCAGGCCTCCCCTCTCCCCCAGCACCAGGCAGGACTCACTTCCACTGCATCTCCAGCTGCAGCTTGATAGTGCCCAGCTCCGTGATGTCCACCACGATGACCTGCGGCCGCGTCGTGAAGAAGTCAGCGATGTCACACGTCACTGCGCCCACAGCCAGTGAGCCCAGGCCCCGCAGCTCTGTCACCTGGGGGTGGGGGCTGGAGGGTGGTGTCTGAGCCGAGCACCCAGGCACCCCAGCCCCACCCCCAGCCCCATCCCCACCTTGATGTCCAGATTCTCGTGCAATGTGGGGATGAAGGCCTTCTCCTCTTCGTCCCAGGTCTGGCTGTCATCCGACTCGATCCGACCCTTGAGCTTCCAGCGCTGGCGGCCCAGACGCATGAGCACCTGTGAACCAGCCCGAGAGGGGCTGTGTCAGCCCCGGAGGGTGTCCCCTCGACGCCCGCCCAGGGCCCTCCCTGCCAGACAGGGCCTCAGCTGCAACCCTGGTTCCCAGCAGCTCCAGTCTCCCAAAGACCTGGTAGGGAGCCCTAAGGATTGACCCCAGAGGGTGGCCATACCTCATACTGGTCTCCGGGACAGAGGCGTGCGTAGCCCACCAAGCCTGGAATGCAGATACGGCCAGTCTCCCCTCCGCCTTCCACTGTCCCTGACCCGGGACCACAGGTTCTCTCTGGGGGTCCCCCAAGTGTAGGTTTTCAGGTTCAGGGGGCAGGGATGCACTGTCATGATGGATGATGGACAGGAGGGTGCTGGGCCCTCACACCAGGCTCAGAGAGGGGGTAGGACTTGCCAGAGGTCACATGTCACAAGGATGCAAAAGTCACGGCCAAGCTCAGACCCCTGGGATTCCGGTGAGATCCCCCCTTCAGCAGAAGCCTCAGGGCCTCCAGGAAGGCCTCCGCCCACCCCCTTCAGCCCTATCACCTTTCATCCTGATGTGGAACTGGCCCAGGTGAACCTCCAGAGCCCCCTCGATGAGCCACATGTCCTGCGAAGCCCCAGAGGTGACTCAGGTGGCTGCCTGGGGTGAGGCCACAGGAGCCTCTCACTGTCCCTGCAGCCAGACAGAGGCCACAGGCAGAGACGCCTCCTCGGGGCCAAGGGCACCTCCCCCGACCCCCGCTGGCCCAGCCCTAGCTGCCCCCACTGCCCAGCCCAGCTTGGCCCAGCCTACCTCGGCACACTCCTGCAGGCTGCGGCCCAGCTCCTGCAGGCTTTCTCGGGCTGCGCGGCTCGGGGGGTACCTGGCGAAGGCCTGCTGCATGCTGGAGACGCCGTCGCGCAGGCGGCACTGGATACAATAGTCCTCGTACAGCTCGTCCACCTGTGCCGGGCACCAAGGGGCAGCCCCACACCTGCATGTCTACTTCTCCCCCCTGAGAGAGGCCGTCCCTGAGCTAAGCACCCCCCACCCCAACCCCACCCCAACCCCACCCCATCCCAACTGGTGGCGGCAGTCACCCCCTGCCCAGTCCCACTCAAAGCACTCCCC